TAAAAATTATCAAGTTTGATTTAATAGTCATTGAGATATTTTAATTTAAAGTTTGAAAAAAATTTAGAAACAATTTGTCTGGTTCCTACTGGCACCCAGTTATTTCCATTATTTAGAAAAATACTAAATAATGAAAATTTATAGGCTATTTAAGCTGACGATACTAATCTTGATAGACAACCTAGTGATATATCATTAGATTTTGTAAACATGGACATTCAAGGAAGTAATGCACAAGATATGGAATCGTGTTTTGATGTAAAAGATGCTACGGTAGATGGTCAGGGAGCAAAAATATCACGAATCAATGATAATTCAATTGAAAATGATTATTCTGTATCACAACCTCTTGAAAAGAGCGAGATCATTCAAAAAAATAAAGATAAAGCACAAGATTTAAATTCGAATAATCAGGTAATTACTTTAACTATCTCGATTAATCTAGAATAAATAAAATAATAATTTAACAAATCCATAAAGGAACAAGTCGAATTTTCAGATGAAAATGATGACACTGATGAGGAAATGGGTAGAATTGATGCTTTAGCTTTGTCACGTGAAAAAAGTAAAGAAATCAGTTCAGCAAAAGATAGCACGAAGTCTCATGTTAACACCACAAAACATAGTGATATTGAAAATGAAAGAACTTCTATAATTAATGAGGAGGTAAGAAAATTTATAAATCCTTTTAAAATAATAAAATGCTAACACATATATACAACCTAATCAGAATCAGAATGATACTGATGATAATCCAGAGGTAAGAAATTTATACTCTTGATTCAGTTATTTTAAACATTTTCTTATGTTTAATGAGGAATGTAAAATCTATTAAAGTGTAAAAATATAAATTATAATGAAACCGGTGGGTTGCAATAGTAGCCTCTAGCACATCAGCCGAAATCACTGATACAATTGAAGTCGAAGAGAATCAAGGTAATGAAACACAAAGTTTGGCCTCAAGTTTTAAGATAAATTACTAATACTAATTCCAATCTGAAAAGTCGACCTGCAATCTGATGAGTATTCAGATTCACTTGAAGAAACCAATGAAGAAAACTTTGAAAAGTTAACATTAAGTTTGTGCAAAAGTCACAGATCTAAAATCAACTCTTCACAAAAATTCAAAACAAGCGTAAATAAGGTGAATAATATTTGTGATGTTAATTTGTAATATCGAAAACTGATTTGTAACTGACAAAAGGCCAATGAAGAATATGTTGAAAGTACAATATGTATTTCTTCTGATTTTCCTTTAGTTTTTGTTGATGACCCTATTCCGGTAAGAATTTTTTTCTTTTTTACTACATGATTTTTCCTTAATGTCAGAAACGTTCAGCATTCCATCACTATATGAAAGTTTTAGTAAAATGCCCTCTGTATTTTATTGTATTTTATTGTATTTTATTATATTACCTTAATTAAATTTGAATAGCTCTAATTGTATAATTTTGTTTAACAAGAAATTTATATCGATGAAGTTAAGAAATCAAGTAAGGCTTTAAAATAAATTTTTAGTGTAATTATCATTAATTATTT